GTGGGGATCCTGGGGATCTCAGGGCACCCAAGGGAAACGGGGGTGCCCATGGGGGCCAGGGGCACCAAAATACAAGTTTGCCCAGGGCGCCATTTTCCCTAAGCCCAGGCCTACCTTTCGGACTGCAAGTAACCTGAATATTGCTGTGATCGTTGGTGTACGGGACCATCTATCACACAGGCAAGCTTGCCTGGGTGACAGGATAGATAGAGCAGCTTAGCCAAGGAGCCTGTCTGTGACTCCCTGGCTAGGCTGTTATAATACCTGAGGACACGTGGTTGGTGACATCAAAGTCTCGAACTCCCAGCCAATTTGAGGTTTTTGACCTGCCCCTTAACAGTCTGCTCGGAGGTTGGTACTCACTTTGCAGCCATCGCAGGATAGCTTGGCACGCCCCCTCTACTAGGACACAGCACCCAGGGGCGCCTGGCACCAAGACATGGCCACGTCCCCTCTGCTAGGACACAGCACTCGGGGGCGCCTGGCACCCAGACACAGACATGCCCCCTCTGCTAGAACACAGCATCCAGGGGCCCCCTGTCATCCAGACAGGGCCAGACCCCCTCTGCTAGGACACAGCACCCGGGGGCACCTGGCACCCAGACATAGCAATTCCCCCTCTGCTAGAGCACAGCACCTGGAGTGTCAGGCTTGAAACACGAGTGAGGCCTCTGTGCCTGTTGCCAGGCCTGACCAGCATTGAGACCCGTATGAGCTACACACAGCCCCGAGATCCCCTGCAATTGAGATGTGACTGCACCTCTCCCGCTCCCATGCAGTCCCCATTCCCCGCTGGCCAGAGCCACAACTGCACGCCCTGCTCTATCGGATCCCCCAGAGACCTCGGATACTGAGACACGGCCAGGTCCCCTGGGCTCTTGCAGCCCCACAACCCTGCAGCACAGAGCCGCAGCTGTAACCCCCCTTCCCCAGCAGGTCACTGGAGTCTGAGACACCCCGTGGCTCCAGGCCCCAGCTTGTCTGCAGTGCGAGGGGTGCACCAGGAGAACCCCCTCACCAAGCCGGGTCCCCCAGCTCTCCGCCCCTCTTGGAGCCTGGCTGCGTTCTGCCCTGGGACAGGGCTCGCCTGTTCTCGCCCCAGCCCCCATCACAGCACGAGCTTCTCCAGCCCTGCCTCCCGCCGCATCTCATCCTCCCTGTCCCCTGCAGCGCCATCCGGCACTGCCCCATTTATCTCCCTCTGTCGCCGGCGCTGGCAGCTCCAATAAGTCCCTGGCAGGGCCAGCGCGTATCGAGCGCTGAGATGAGCAGGTGTGAGAAGAGGCGCACCGGTGCTGACAGCAGCTTGGCAGGGGGAAGATGGATGAGGGCCGTGGCGGTCCTGAGCCTGGGGGCTGCGCACAGCCAGAGTGGGGGAGGGGGAATGATGGCTGTTGGTGGTGCTGCTTAGTGGGACAGCAGGGAGCGTGGGGGGTGAGCACTGGAGCAGGGCTCAGACTGGGCACGGAGGAGGGGGGGCTGTTGGCCTGGCTGGGCCTCTGGAGCAGGGGGAGGGAGCTGGAATGGGGGATCTGGCCTGGCAATTTATCCAGGGGTGGGTGGGTGCCCAGCACCTGAGCTGGGCTCCCGGCTGCACCAGAGTCTGCCTGTGCAATAGCTGGGCCACCTGCCTGGCCTGGTGACACCGGCCCGTGGGGCAGGGTCGGGGGGGGCAGTGACATCTGTTGTGATAACTGGGCCCCTCTAGGCCCCCCAGCACGTGGGCAGTGGCCGCTCGCTGTCCCTCTGTGCCCACAGGGCGTGTGCAGTGCCCACCAGCCACACAGGGCACAGTCAGTAGAGGTGCTGCCCAGCCCGAGAACAGCAGGGCGCAGCCGACTCCACCCCCAGGATAACCAGCCCCTTCAGCAGCCCCAGTGTCAGCAGCACAGACCCCGTGGGGGCTCTGGGAGCGACGAGGGGCCAGGGCAGGCTGGGGAGTAGCCCAGGGATCCAGGGTAGGCTCCTACTGGGCCGGGGCATCAGGCTGACACACATCCTGGCTCAGTTTGGCCATGGTCTGGTCCCTCAGCCACTTCTGCAATGGCCAGTAGCCATCTGGGGCTGGGGGTCCAGCCAGGCCTGCATGAGGCAGCATCCCCCACAGCCCGGCCAGGCTGGACTTGTCCCAGTCGGGGGGCAAGATGAATGGGATGCTCCAGCTCGTGGGTGACCGAGTGTCACTGCTGACGACGCGTGGGCAGAATCCCCCGCTGTGCCCGTCCAGTGCAGCAACCCGCCGCCCCAGCTCTGCTCCTGGCCCCTCGTCGCCCCCAAGTCCTGTCCTGTGCCCCCAAGTCCTGCCCTGTGCCTCCCCAGACTGTTGCTGCTGGGGGCTGAGCCTGGGGGTTGTCCACTCCGCTGTGTGTGTGGGAGGGGGGTCTAGCAGGGTCCCCAGAGACCTGTGCTCAGCCAGACACTTCAGCCCAGAAAAGCTGGAGCCAAATAGGCTCGGCCAAAGGGGTCTGCCGGGCTCCTGGTACAGTCGGGGCTTGGCACGGTGATGAGCTGACAGCCTGGCAATGGGCAGGATGGTTGTGCTGAGATCATTGACTGGCGGGTCGATGGGCAAGTGTTACTGGGGATGATACTTCCCCCCGATGTTTCCGGGGGTCACTCTGTGGGGACGAGGGCTGCGTTGCCAGGAAGGAGTGAGTGTCTCCTGGGATGCTGGGATCCCCTGGGATGCCATTGGGCCTGCCTCCTGGCCCCCTGACTGGCCCAGACGGCACCGCTAACTCCACTGGCTTCAGCTAAACCCTCACCAGCCCTGGGGTGAGAGCCTTGGTGAGGTCCTTTGGTCACCTCTCCCTTGTCCCTCCCTACCTGATTGCCGGTCTCACGCTCCTCTGTCTAATAAGCATCTGGCTCTGCCAGACAAGCCAACGCCACCTTTAGCACAAGGGCTCTGATCCTGTGACCAGGTCTAACAGCCAGATGGTGACACAAACTTGCCAAACCATGGCTCGTGAGCAGTAAAAGTGTGGCTCGCTGAGCCCCCCCTCCGCATTCTCTGCCTAGCAAACTGCGGGGGGGGGGGGGGACCTCGGGACTCCTGCCCTGCAGGGTGGTGGGGCTAGGGGTTTCTGCCAGAGACGACTGGTACCTGCTGAGCGTGGGGGGAGCACAATTTAAAGATCCCCGTTCCCCCCCAGCTCAACAGCTGCTGCCCTGGGGAAAGCAGAGAAGTGGGGATGGGCATCTGATTTCAGATTCACAGCTTCTCCTGGTTGTCCCAGCAGAGGGCAGAACCCACACAGCGCAGAGGGAGGGTTTTTGCATGAAATGAGTTTTCAGTTTAAATTTCCCAGCTCCAGATAAAGCACAGTGCTGGAGGGGCACCATTTGTCAGTGTTGATGTGGTGACATTTGAGACCAGGCTGGTGTTCAGCATAAACAGGGAATCGTCTAAGCTCCAGGATAAAGTACGTAAGTGGCACCAGGCCAGTGTGAGCTTCAAGCTTAACAGCTGGTTTCAGAGTAACAGCCGCGTTAGTCTGTATTCGCAAAAAGAAAAGGAGGACTTGTGGCACCTTAGAGACTAACCAATTTATTTGAGCATGAGCTTTCGTGAGCTACAGCTCACTTCATCGGATGCATCCTGTGGTGGGAGGGATACTGTGCATCCGCTGAAGTGAGCTGTAGCTCACGAAAGCTTATGCTCAAATAAATTGGTTAGTCTCTAAGGTGCCACAAGCTTAACAGCTGTTAGCAATAGTGCTCAAAGCACTTCACAAAGCAGATCGTAGCATTCTCCTCATTTTACAGATGGAGAAACCGAGTCATGGAGTGGGAAAGTGACTACAGCCTGCCGGCAACAGAGCTGGGAACAGAGCCCGTTCCAATTCTCCAGCCACTAGGCCACTGTCCTCTGATGTCCCCCGGATACTTGGGTGTTGTTTTGTTTCTGAGTGTGATGGAAGCTGTAGATATTAGCGGGGCCAGCTGAAGATTGTGGTGGTGGTTGAGTGCTGCACAGTGTGTGACACAAGGAGGGACGTCCCAGGATTTTAATGGTTGGTGGGTGTAACTGACTCACCTGCCTTGTTACACAAGGGAGCATTTGCACTGGAGTGTCGTTGCTTTGTAACGCACGGCACTGTGCAGTCCTGGGGATCAGTACTGATCCAGCCACTCCGCTTGGCTTGATTGCTGTTAGTTCATTGGCTTTAGGAATTGAGATCTGCCCATGTAACTTCTTGGGCTGCGAGACGAGCGGCTCACCACGTGCCATCGAATAGTGACAAGTGTCAGAAGTACCAACCTTGCCAAATAACGGCTGATTATAAAACGGCTTTTAGGAAAAAGTCTGGCGGATGGTGGGCAAATGTCCCAGGGGGGTTATTTAATTAGTTCCTTGGCTGATGGGAGATCAGAGGGGGATCAACAGAGCCGGGAAAGGAGAAGCAGGAAGAGCTGGGGAGATTGCAATTGCGATTGAGGTGGGAAGGGGAGGGCCAGAGCTAGGCCAGCAGGGGGCAGCAGGCTGGGATCGAGGGGCGGCATAGCTTGGGGGAAGGGAGTCCAGATCTGGGGTAACAGGGTGCAGTGGGTCAGAACTGAGGGGCAAGGGCTGAGTTGTGTGGTGGGAGGCCAGGACTTGGATAGCAGGGGAGTGGGTCACTGCACAGAGGGTCTAACGCACTCTGTCCCTTCCACTGGGCCTGATCCTGCTCCCGGTGATGCCGGCTCAGTCAGCACAGCTGCTGGCATGGTTACCCCGGGCCCTCTGGCCGCGTGGGATGGGGGAACAGGCAGCCCCTCACCATCCCTCCCACCTCAGGCCGGGGAGCCGGCCGGTCCCCTCATGGCTGGGTTCATGTCCTGCGTTCTGGGGCTGTGCAAGGAAGAATTCATTCAGTTCTGAGTGGCAAAGCTAAGCCCTACCCCCAGCAGGGAGGTCAGCGCCCCTCCGGCTCGGGGGATATTGGCTGAGTCCAGCCCATGCTCCAGGGCAGCTGCCCCCAGTGCCCCGCTTGCGGTATGCTCATCAATAGCTGATGGCGGAGCTGCTGCCCGGGGTGGGGGGTTCTCGGCTCATCTCGCCCTGGGCCAGCCAGTGCCCCCCAAGGAGCTGCTCAGCTCTGCACCACGCCACACTCGGTGAATCTCCGCCCCCCGAGCAGGAGAATAAAATCGCCAGGTCCAGCCCGGAGGCTTCAGAAACCGAGTTACAGCCACACTGGGCCGGGGAGCCGGACTCTGGCCGGGGAGCCGGAGCAACGCCCGCTGCACTGATGGCAGGTAAATCCGGCTGGGGACTCCTCCGCTGGAAACCCCTCGCTGACATTTCCCGTTGGCCCATTTACCTCCCCGACTCCAATCTAGCTCTTCCCTGGGACGAGCCCCGGCAGCCTCGTGCCCCCATCCCCCACTCCGCCCGGCTCCCTGCGCCAGGCTGTGGCATTTCGCACCTGTCCAGCCTACAGTGAGTTACGGGGTGTCGAGGGACTTGGCTACAAATGGTGGGTGGACAGGGGGAGATGCAGGGGGGATGGGTGTGCAGTGGAGTGAGGGGAGTGTGCACATAGGACCCCGGCTGCAGCGATCTGCAGAGCCTGGCTGGAGGCGGGCTCAGGCCCTGCCCTCTCCATCACTGGCTGAGCTCCAGAGCCTGTTGATCACAAGAGACCCACGTTCCTAACCCCTAGAGCCTAGGTACCGCGTTTAGGGGTCGCTGTGCAGTAGGAAGCACCCAGGGTTATGACAAGGTGGCTTCTGTGTGGAGCAGATCAGCTGGGTGTTCAGGGTCCCTCCCACCACTCGGATAGCGCGTGGGAATCGTTACAGCTCATAGAATTACTAACAGCGTGTATTGAACACAGGTACATGTTACATACCTGTACAAAGCATGTTCGTGTGAGGGGGGAGCAGAGGGAACTGGTGGGTGAGAACGGAGGGGGGGCTGCGAGCCAGGACTCCTGGGTTCTATTCCCCTGATGAAGGGGCCAACAGGCTAAGGGAACTGGCAGTCTCTGGCCTGGCTGGGGCCGGTGTATAGGGCTGGCTAAAATACCAGCTGGGTGTGAGCAGGAGGCCAAGCTGCCAGGGTAGCAGGCTGATGGGGCGGAATCCCAGCATCCTGGCTTGGAGCCTGCGGGGAGCAGCCCTGGCTAATGCCTCTCCGCGATGTTAAAGTCCAAACACCAGCAGAGCGGGGGTCGCCCAGCTCCAGGAGCTGGAGCTCAGTGGCCGGTTACTGACTGCCTGGGGAGAGCAGAAGGGGATGGGGTCTCAGGAAGGAGCAAGCATCCCTGGGAAAGGGAATTTTGCTACAGAGAGGGGCTTGGTGCGAGAGAGTGGGAGGGTCAGGGGCTGGGGCTCCCTGAAAGGGGAATCGGGGTGATGAGAGGTGCTCAAGCCCTTGGACCAGCAATGATGCCGGAGATGATGCTGATGGTCAGGGAGCGCAGTGGGGCCCACTCCTGTGCATGAGGCACTTTGCAAATCCAGCTGGATGCGGGCCTTGGATCAGCAGAGCTTTATGGAAGGAGCCCAGGGCTGGGCTTGTGGAGGGCTGCAGATTTGTACTGAGGGGCACTGGCAGAGCTGCCGGGGGTGGTGGTGGAAGCCCAGGGCTGGGATAGCAGGGGGCTGCAGGGCGGGACTAGGAGGAGCTCAGGGCCAGGATAGCAGGGGGCTGCGGGTTGGGACTGAGGGGAGCTCAGGACCAGGATAGCAGGGGGCTGCGGGTTGGGACTGAGGGGAGCTCAGGACCAGGATAGCAGGGGGCTGCGGGTTGGGACTGAGGGGAGCTCAGGACCAGGATAGCAGGGGGCTGCAGGTCGGGACTGAGGGGAGCTCAGGGCCGGGATAGCAGGAGGCTGCGAGGCAGGATTAGGGGGAGCCAAGGGATAGCAGGGGGGTGTGGGTCAGGGATGGGGGGAGCTTCGGGCTGGGATAGCAGGGGGCTGCCAGGCAGGACTCAGGGGAGCCCAGGGCTGGGATAGCAGGGGGCTGCGGGTCGGGGGTGGGGGGAGCTTAGGGCTGGGATAGCAGGGGTAGCAGGGGACTGCAGGTTGGGACTGGGGGGAGCTCAGGGCCAGGATAGCAGGGGGCTGTGGGGCGGGATTGAGGGGCAGCATGGGGGGTATCAAGGGGCACTGCCATTTCCCCAGTTCACAGGTGCTTTGGGGCTCACCAGAAGATGCCTCAGCTGGTTTCTGAGTCCATGTCCCAGCCCCCTGATGCCCATAGCCACAGGGGCTTGGCACTGATCCTCTCCCCTCCTTTGCAGCATTCCTCACAGCCAGTCTGAGTGTCCTGACGTCAGACGGGAGCCCCTTCGCCTCTGGCCCCGAGTGGAGCAGTCCCATGGGGGCTCCCTGCCTGCTGGGGCCCCTGCCGGCCTGTGGCAGGTTCGGTGTCCCTGCTGGGGAGGGGGCCGCGGGGCTCGGGGACAGCATCCAACCGGCCAGGAAGAACCAGCATGTGTCCAACGTGTCAGTGCAGCTGGAGATGCGGAGCCTGTGGGAGGAATTCAATAGCCTGGGCACCGAGATGATTGTCACCAAAGCGGGGAGGTAGGTGGGCATTGCCTAGGCACGGCAGCGCAGGGACCCCCTTGTACCCTGCTACTTTACAGCCCCTGGCAGGGGCCATGCCACCACCAACACTACCCCATGGCAGGAGCTGTGCCCCCATGTCCCAGCCTGGTGTTCTGTGAGACCCCGTCCTGGCTCCATGCAAGGGGATCCGGTGCCATCCCCACCCTCCTGGGGGTCTGATCTGGCCCCTTGTAGCACCAGGCAATGTGGCTCATTCCCTGCCAGAAAAGCCGCTCCCCCAGTGCTAAGGGCTGGCGGCTGGTGCCACACATCACGGCTGCCCAGGGCCCCATTGCAGGGTCCAGCCCCACAATCCTTGGAAATATGGGGGGAGGTGGGTGGAACAAGGACTGCCAGGAGCCTGGACGGCGCCAGGAGCCAGCACTCCCTGTCTGGTTTGGCTGGGCACTAGGGGGCTGGGCACAGAGGGGGGCACCGGGGCAGACTGTGGGTGCCAATGGGGGCTGGGTGTCTTGGGGCTGTGGAGGTGCCGGGCCTATTGAGAGGGGGCTGCGAGGATGGCAGTCGGGGTGGAGTCTGCCCCCACCCCACGCCTGGTCCTCCAGCTTCTCCGTTCCAGTCTGATATTACAGGGGACATGAGCTGCTGCAGCAGCGTGATGTTCCCGGGGGCAGGGGTGCTGCTGGGCAGCTCTGCCCCCCACCAGCAGTGCTGCCCCCTCCCATTGAGTGCTTCAAATGCACCTGCCCCCCAGTACCCTCCCACCGCCTCCTACTTCCCCCCGACTCTCCCCACTGGCCCTGCCTCAGCCCCCCCCACTCTCGCTCATTCTCCTGCTCATGCTTGGGTTCATGTTGCCCCACACTCACATTCACTCCCACCTACACGCCCCAGTCCGTGGGGATCTGCACACATCCGCCGGGCTGGGCAGCCTGGCCCCTTTCTCCCAGCCCCTGTGTGTCACCCTGCTGGGCCCCTTGAGTGGGGAAGAGGCCTGAGACAGGGCAACCCCAGTGCCCCATGTGACCAACACCCCCAGCCCCCCACTTGCAACAGGTTGACCCCCAACCCTCTGTGTGACCAGGGACCCCAGCGCCCCTCACTCTGTGACCTATAACCCCAGCCTTTCCCCCATGACCAATGACACCAGGCCCTGTGCAATGGGGAGACCCTAGTGCTCCACCCCCGTACAACAAGGGCGATCCCAGCGCCCCATGCCCTCCCCTCTCCTCTGCCACAGGAGGATGTTCCCCACCTTCCAGGTGAAGCTCTCAGGGCTGGACCCGCTGGCCGACTACGTGCTGCTCATGGACTTCATGCCCCTGGACGACAAGCGATACAGGTGGGGGGTATACAGATGGGGGGGGGGGCAGATCCTGCCCAGCCCACCACCACCAGAGCCTGGAGCAGAGCAGCCTGCGTGGGGGGCGGGGGGCAGCCCTGTGCTGGGTGTGGTGCCCGTAGATCTGGCAGCTCTGCCCACCCCCCACCTGCCTCCTGCACTCCAGCTGCCCCAGCCATGGCCTGCGTCGGCCTCCCCCCACCTCCCCCCACTGCTCAGTCACGTGCCTCCACTCACCACTGTCTCTCCCGGCCCCACAGGGCAGGATCCCAGCCCCCACGGAAATGTGCTGGAGCCCAGAACACGAACTGGCTCCCCATGGCTAGAGGGCTCTGTAGGGGGCGGGAGGAAGCTCTGGGGCCCAGACTGCCCTCCTCCATGCAATGAGGCCTCCATCTGAGCGGGGGGACCCCGGTGCTCAGGCCCTGCCTCTCCCTGCAGATACGCCTTCCACAGCTCCTCATGGCTGGTGGCTGGCAGAGCAGATCCGGCCGCGCCCGGCCGCGTCCACTTCCACCCCGACTCGCCCGCCAAGGGCGGCCAGTGGATGAGGCAGATCGTCTCCTTCGACAAGCTCAAACTCACCAACAACCTGCTGGACGACAACGGCCACGTGAGCCACCGTGCCAGACCTGGGCAGCGGGCGCGGCCTCTGATCCAAGGCCACGATAGGGGACTGGTTGGCTCACGGGGTGGGAAATGGGCACAGGGCCATTCCCCTCTAGGGGCGCCGCTGCCGGATCCAATCCAGCCCCAGGGCGGGTGGTGGGGCTGCCTGGCTCGGGGGGCAGGGATATGGCACCGTTGGCAGGGGCAGGAGGCTGCTGAGATACCATGCATTGGACACGGCCCTACAGAGTGGAGGATGGGGGGCGGGACAGGATGCCATGGGCTGTGAGGGTCGGGGAAAGGTGGGCTGTTGGACTGGGGGTGGGGTGAGGGGTTGCAGAGCTATGCCGTAGGGTGAAGGAGGGGGTGGGATATGTTGCTATGGGCGATGGCTGTCCCAGTGCCCATCTCAAGCATGGCTCTTCTCTGGCACACACAGATCATCCTGAACTCCATGCACCGGTACCAGCCCCGCTTCCATGTGGTGTACGTGGACCCACGCCGGGACAGCGAGCGCTTTGCCCACGAGAACTTCAAATCCTTCACTTTCGCAGAGACCCAGTTCATGGCGGTGACGGCCTACCAAAACCATCGGGTGTGTGTGCAGCCCAGAAACTGGCCCCACCCTTCAGGGCACTGAGCCACCCCTCCCTGGGCCCCAGGGCTGGACATTATAGTCCCCTCCCTGTGATCCCTGCATGCAGGAGTCCCTCCCCCAACACCATCTCCATGCCACAGTGCCCTCTGCTGGGGAGGGCAGGGCTAGACAGTGCCCCCTGCTGGGGAGGGTGGGGCTGAGTGGTGCAGGCTCCTCCCTGTCACTGATGTCACAGCACCCCCTGCTGGGTGGTGGCCACATGGCTGTTTCTGATTTCATGCAGGGGGTGCAGCATCTCTCTGCAGGATTCCTGTCCCACTGTGCCTAGGGAGCTGCTGATCTGGGTGGGTGTCTCTGAGCTGCTGCCAGCCCCTGGGGTAGTGGGGTCTCTGGCACTGGTTTTGGAGGGCTGCTTCCCTCACCCCATCCCCTCTCTCTCTGCAGATCACACAGCTGAAAATCGCCAGTAACCCCTTTGCCAAGGGTTTCCGGGACTGCGAGCCAGACGACTGGTAACTGCCCCTCCAGCACCCTCCCCACCCAGCGGGAGATGGGAGCACTGATGCCTCCCCTCCCCGCATAGGGTCCCACTGTTCTAACTGCTGGGGGCGGGGGGCAGTCTCCCTCCCATCCCAGGGCTCATCCACTTGGCAGCATGTCACACACCCAGCTGCAGTGCCCACCCCTGCATCCCATCCCAAAAGAAGAGGAGGCAGGAGGGGCAAGTGATGGCCGCAGCCCAAGGGGGAGGAGTCCATAATCAGCCCCAGTCACCTCCCCAGCAGCTGCCCCCACCCCACTACATATCCCAGTGCCCACTCCCACCCAGCCCCCACCAGCCACCCCCTGAATCAGTGTAGGATGGTTTACACATGTGCAAATTAGTTCATTAAATAGTTTGCACGCAGTCTCCCAGGGGAGCTGTGTTCTGGTGGGGGAGGAGCACCTCTGCCCATCCTCCTGCCCCCCCCCACCCAAATGTCTGACCCCAGCTGAGCCCCCTCCCCATTTCTCACCCTCCCCCTTCTCATGTGCAGGCCTGGGGCATCAGGACCTCTGCTGGGAACCTTGGCCCGCACTCAGGGGACGGGCCCCTCCTCCCAGCTTAAGGACATGCAGAAAGGTAACCCCCACCCACAGGGCTACCAGCTCTGACACCAGGGTGCTCCCCCCACCCCTAGCCCAGCTGGAGAGCGTGCAGGGGCAGGGCTGTTACATACAGCTGGCTGGGCACACACCGGGGCTGGAGGTGCTGGGCTGTGGGTGCTGGAGGAGCCCCACCCAGGGCCTCTTCACCACGTGCAGCTGTGCAGGCCATGCGGGCAGGGCAGGGCTCAGGGAGCCACAGACGGGTGCTGGGGCTCTTGGGCTCAGCTTCTAGCACTGGCTGAGGTAGGGGGCAGGGGCAGAGCTGACGGAGAGGGTGGGGCTTTGGCAGAGGCAGGGCTTGGGGATCTTGGCACAGCAGCCCTGCAGTGGCTGTGACCTGCCCTCGTTCTCTACTCTCTCCCCAGGGCTGCCGGGCCGGCGCCGTGTCAGGGGGCAGCTCCCTGCCACCCTCCTGCGAGAGGCCACCCAGCTCCAGAACCCCTCACTCGTGCCACTCACTGGAGCCCGTGGCTTCCAGGACAGCTCAGCTATGCGGCGCCCTCTCCCACCAGAGCTGGGGGCCCCCCTGTACAAGCCCCTCTCCTACCACAGCATGTACGTCGGGGCCAAGCCACGGGTGGCACCTTACCCACTGCCTGCCAGCCTCCACCCATTCAACGTCTACAGTGCCAGCCCCCCTGCCCTCAACTACGGGCAGCAGTGATAGGTAGCGGGGCTCATAGGACCCACTCTGACTCACCCCCACTCCCAAGTACTCAGATGGCTGCCCCATGGTGAGACCCAGCTGCAGCATGACACAGGCAGGCTCCAGCCTGAGAGCCTCGCTAGGAGCCCCCCTGCTTCCCCACTCACAGTATTCCTGGCCAGGCTGGCCTCCCCATATCCTAGCCAGCTGCTCGAGGCAGCGCTGCAGGGCTCCCCTCCCTCTCCGCTGCTGCAGGGCTGGCCCCCTGGGCCATGAGCTGCCACACAAGTCTCCCCAGCTTGTGGCCATTAAACATCCCTGCACCAGCCTTTGGTGTCAGGGGGAGCCCTGAGCACTGCCCCAGGAGCGGGAGCCACAGCTCATGCCCAGGACACAGGGCAGGGCGGTGCCCAGAGCACATAGCTGGTCAGATCCTGCCCCCCACCCGCTCAGGCAGGAGCTGCCTTCAGCTCCCCCCTCCCCTCCCTCCCAGCCAGTGCTGACCAGGGGGCAACCAACAGAGCCTTGGCCCCAGCTGGTCTGACACGATTCACACCCAGGGGTGCTGGACCAGTTTAGCGAGGGGAGTCAGCGCCAGCTGGTGCCAGTGTAGGGTAACTGCAGCGAGGGCTGTGCAAGGTGCTGCTCGAGTGAGATCTGCTGGGAGAGCTGCCCAGACCGAGGGCAGGGCAGGTTCACGCTCCAGAGCCGGGAGCTCAGCTGGCCAGGCCCCGTGAGCGCCACCAGAGGCCCAGTGGTTTACGGTTACACACTGACAGGGACGGGGCTGTTTCACTCTTTAATCGTACAAAAGACAGGACAAAAGTAATCTGTGCCACGGCAGGGAGCACCAGGCTCCGCAGACAGCAGATGACAGCACCAGACCAGAGGGGAGGGGAGGGGAGGGGAGGGGCAGGGCGGGGGAGGGGAAACAGCACCAGGCTTAGGGGAGCAGTGGCCAGTGTAGAAGATGCAAACCCAAAGAGAGGCCCCTGCCCTGGGACAGGGTGGGAGGGGGCACCATCCCTTTGAGGTGGGGGTGGCGGGGGGGGCACGTGGTGCCGAGGGCCGGGCTGGCCCTACTCCCAGCTGTCGGCGGGGAAGGCGAAGGGGCTCAGCTTGTACCCGGTGCCCACGTAGAACTTGTTCTGGAATTCCACCCTGCAAACAACACAGGAGGGGGCGGGGGAGTCAGCGCAGACATCACCCCCCACAACTGACCACGGGCCTCCCCCATCCCAAGGGAGGTGCTGGGTACGAACACTGGGCATACCCAGGGGCTGACCCACCACAGACCCGCCCGTCCACCACAACCCAGAGTCCAAAGCCGCTCCCCCCTCCCCCCGCTGGGAGTATGGGGATGGGGGGCTCACCAGTGCAGGCGCAGGGCGTGCAGGAAAGCCGACAGCCCCTCCATCACCAGCAGGATGGCCACCGTCAGCACGGCGAAGAAGGCGAAGACGGGCACAAGCAGCACCCCGCCCACGTAGACATGCATCAGGAAGCCGTTCCGCATCACCATGGTCCACAGCACCTCCGACAGCTCTGCAGGGGCACTGGGGGGGTCAGAGCTGGGCATGCCCCCCTTCACCGACACCTGCCACCCCACCTCACCTCCCTCCCCTGCAGCCCCCCCACCCTGCCCCTCACAGGCCTCCCTCCCACCTCCTCCCTCCAGGGGTCTGCATGAGGGACCACAAAGCATTTGTGGGCCAAGTTCAGCACAGGCAGGAGGCTGTGAGAAACCCCCCCCCCCCCCGACTCACGTGCATGGGCCAGGCTGAGTGCCCACAGGCGCAGGTAGGAGGCCGTGTTGGAGATGCAGCCCAGGCAGTACTCGATGGTGTGGATGGCCTGGTGCATGAAGACTTCAGAGAATTCAAACTGCGGGAGACACCAAAGCAGTGGGACAGGGTGAAGGGCAGCACCCAGCCATGGCACCATGCCCAGCCGCAGGGCAGCACCACACAGGGGGAGCGGGGCACCACGTCCAACCACTCTCCTCCAGCTTTGGCACAGTGAGCTAACCCCGGGCCCATCCATAAGCTCTCTCTGCCCCTTGCCGTGGGCTCGGGCAGACACATACCATCTGGAGCTCACTCAGCTGGCTGTCGGGGGGACAGCCCGCAGGCTACATGGGAGCCCAGCCAACCAGCAGTGCCCTTTTCCACCCTCTGTGCAGCGAGAGAAGACTGGGATGGGGAGGGGGGACTAATCCCGTCCCTGATGCTCATAGCTTCAGGGTCTTCTGCCCACCCCAGGACCCTGTCCTTCCACTCCGGGGCCACTCTGTGCCATGCTGGGGGGATGGGCAGCAGCTGGTCAAGCCCCACCCCTCTGAATGGCCCTGCCCCCACCCAGTGCAGGTACATTTCAGTCCCACAGATCGGAAGGTGGCCGGGGCCAGAGCTGCTGTGGGGCTCCCCCATGCTGAGTTGGACTGGCAGGACAGCAGGGACACTCACTGTCCCGGCACCCAGTGGTGTTAAACCCATCCCCCTCCCCAGCCATCACAGAGCCACAGGGATCTCACCTCAGGCTCAGGGCCATGCCCGCCACGCTCCACGTCGGCCTCCGTAACGTTCACCGAGTTCCCCGGCTCCTGCGAGCTCAGCAGCGGCTGACGCTCCCCGGCGTCCCCAGGTGGGCCCTGCTGTGCAGAGCCCAGAGCCACACATCAAACATGGGGGGTGGGGGGACACACTCCACTGACCACAGCCCCCGCCCCGCCCCACGGCACCTGCAGCTCCCTTTGGAGAGGTCCCGCAGAGCCCCACAACCCTGCCGCCAGCCCAGCCCTCCAGGGGCCCCCAGGGCCCCCGCCCAGCCCCTTACCCCAAGACGAGGGCGCCCCCTGCGGCGGTGATCGCACCACAGGTACAAGGGCGTGCCCAGGAGCAGGACAGGCACAGAGGCCAGAGCCAGGACGACCAGGACATTCTGCACCGTCACCTGCAGTGGGGAGAGGGTATAAAAGACGGACTTTTACAGTGGCTGCTGCTCTGTGCTGGGGGCCGACACCAGCATGGGCAGGGAGCCCTGGCTGTGGAGGGGCTGCCCAGCCCCAGGGCCCGTGGGGGGAGATGAGACCCGGGGCCGCAGGCAGGATGGTTTCTGTGTTGCAAAGCTCTGTAGCTCTCCTGCTTTGGTCAGAGTCAAATGGCCAGTTCAGCACATGGCTCAGCCCCAGCCTGCCCCAAAGGGGCTAACTGAGGAGCTGGTTCCAGGGCCCAGCCATCCAGGCTGTGCTGCCTGTGTGCCCAGGAAGGGTGGCAGACGTGGGGTCACCCTGTGGGACCAAGAGACCCAGAGCTAGGACAGTGACCCCGCTCTGCCCAGCCCCAGGGGGTGAGCAGCACATGAGATCCGGAGGTTGGGTCCCACCACACCAGCCTTGGGTCTGGCCAGATGTGATAGGCCTATTGGTCTGATCTGGGGGGCAGGTGGGAACCGGACTGGGTGGGGGCAGTGGTAAGCAGCTGCAGATGCTGGCCTGGTGTGGGGGTTCCCCCTCCTGGTCAGAGCAGGGAGTGGCCATCAGGGGTTCCCGTTCTGGGCACAGTGGGGGCTGGCCGTTGGGGTTCCCTGTCCCGGGCGCAGCAGGTGGTTGTTCCGCTTACCCATCCCGGGGGCAGTGGGGGCCAGCTGGCAGGGTTCCCTGTTCTGGGTGCAGTGGGTGGTTGTCGGGGTTACCTGACTCAGATACAGTGGGCGGTTGTCGGGGTTACCCGTCCTGGGCACTGTAGGGGGGTTGTTGGGGTTACCTGTGAGGGTTGCCAGTGCCGGGCACAGCGTCTGTGGTTGGGGTTACCTGTCCCGGATACAGCGGGTGGTTGTCAGGGTTCTCAGTGAACAGGAACATGTCAATGAAGTGGATGAGGATGCTGGGTGCCAGCAGGGAGTTGACAGCACTGAACGTGATCCACTTGTAAAAGATCATGAAGACGAGGTAGCCAAAGAGCGCCAGCAGGAAGAGCGCCTCGGGCAGGAAGACCAGTGCCACCTGGTACCGCTGCCTGAAGTGCCTGTGTGCCAGCGAGAGGGGAGTCGGCCCAGGCCCTGCATAGTCAGGCTGCCTGCCCCCATGGTGGGAGCAACAACCCTTGGGAGGTGGCCCCGTGCCCTGCACCGCTGCCCTGGTTGGAGCCGAGAGCAGCAATCCTGACAGGCAGGATCCCAGCTGCCAGGGGTTCAGGGTGTGCCCTGGGGGACTGGGCAGGGGAGTCAGATAGCGCAGCAGAGTTGCGGACACACCCCTTCCTGGCAGCAGGAGCCCCAGAGCTGCCCTGGCAGGCTTCCTCCCCAGCCTGGCAGCACGGCCAGCTCATACCTCACAAAGCCCCAAGGGGCTAGAACAAGCCCCCTCTGCACTGGGCACAAGCCCCAATGCCAGCCCCAGGGGGCCGCTCCTGCACAGAGAGACAAGTGGCACTGGTGGAAGGCCAGCTCAGAGGAGTGCCACCATCTGCCCGAGGGACTGGGGTTGGGACCACGCCCCAGGGCAGGGAAGGCTTGAGGGGGAGCGGTCTCTGTCCCAGTGCAGGGCTGCCAGCAGGCAGGGCCCCAGGCTCAGGTGCCAATCCTTCCCGCCCAAGCAGGGCCAGGATTTCCTGCAGATGCAGATCCCCGAGCATAAGGAAAGGGTGGGGCCAGAGTGGGGGATGCACCAGGCTCTGTAGCCCTTTCCTCAAGGGCACATGGCCTGCCGGGCCGAAGCGAGGGGGCACAGGTGGGCAGCATGGGTGGGTGTTGGCAGCCCCCGGGCAGCGGCGACTCACAGGTGGTTGAAGACACCGAGCAGCACCCCAAAGCTCATGTGGATGATGCCCAGAATCACTGACATCTTCATCTTGAAGGAGTTCAGGAAGTTCAGGTGGTTGTTGGCCAGGCTCCAGACCTGCAGCCAGGTGAGAGGAGGCGTCTGAGCCAGGGTGGGCACGCAGCTCCCAGTGAGGGGAGCAGGGCGGGGGGGGCAGTTGGCCAGCACGTCCCCCCCATCCCTCCCTACTCACCGGGTCGATCCCGAAGGGGTAGGGCCCCTTGAAGACTCCAGTGACGTTGGGGTCCAGGGTGAGGAAGGCGTGGCTGGCTAAATAGTCGGAGCTGTGGGGACACGGGGGGTGTCAGTGCTGGGGAGAGTGGAGGGCACATACGGATCTGCAGGTGGGGCAGTACGTGGGGAGGCAGCGCTGATGCAGGGGAGTATGCAGGGCAGGTGGCAGGGACGGGGCACATAGGTGTGGGAAGCCAGGAATGGGACGGAAGGGATGGGGATCCCACAAGTGGGTAACGGGTATGGGGGCAGGGGAGCAGGCTGGGGTGTGAGAAGAGGCGTGGGGTAGCAGACAGGGTCCTGGGGGGTGAGCAGCAGCCAGGTGGGGAAGCAGGCAGGGGTCCCATGGGGGGGTAGTGAGCAGGGTACCAGGCAGGAGAGCAGGCAGGGGTCCTGGCGCAGGGACGACAGGGTACCAGGTGGGGGAGCAGGCAGGGGGTGTGAGAAGAGGGACCCAGTGGGGGATAGCTGATGGGGGCAGGGTACCAGGTGGTGATCCCATGGGGTGGGAGCAGGCAGGGATCCTGCAGGGGGAGCAGGCAGAGATCCTGCGAGGGGAGCAGGGTACCAGACGGGGGTCCGGCAGGGTACCAGGCCAGGTACCAGCTGAGGGTCCTGCGGGGGAAGCAGGGTACCAGGCAGGGGTGCAAGCCGGGATCCCATGGGGGGGAACAGGGTACCAGGTGGGGGTCCGGGGGGGGGGGGAGGAGAGAGCAGGGCCCACCTCCAGTTGGAGTGTTTGACCATGGTGGCCACACTCCAGGCGGAGGGGAAGATGGCGGTTGCCTTGCTGAAGCACTCATTGTAGATGAAGCCGGTGTAGACGGAGAAGGCCCCCATGAGCAGAATCAGGTAGCGCCCCTCAAAGAACGTCCGCCAGATCTGGGGACAGACAGACAGATGGAGGCACAGCTCCATAACAGCCCAGCCCTCTCCCACCCTAGCAGTCCCCTCCTTGCTCACCTCGTTGCGCGCCTCCCTCAGGCGGGGGCTGCTCTCAGCCAGCACCATCCAGAGGGCAAAAAGGAACATCAGCAGCCCGTGGCCCACGTCCCCGAACATGACAGCAAACAGGAAGGGGAATGTGATGATGGTGTAGGGCGCTGTGGGTGCAGGGAGCACATCAGAGAGAGGCCCTCCCACCCCACATGGACTCCCCCTCCCCAGACCACCCTGCCACACCCCAGACACAGGACCTTTCCCCTCTGGGGGGCGCTGGCTCCGATCTGGCCCCAGGGTGGGGCACTGGCTGACTCAGGGGGGCTGGGGATGGGACACAGGACCTTTCCCCTCTGGGAGGCACTGGCTCTGATCTGGCCCGAGGGCAGGGGACTGGCTGGCTCAGGGGGCGGGGAATGGGCCATGGGGCTTTTCCCCTATAGAGGGCACTGGCTCCGATCCAACCCGAGGATGGGGAGGTGGCCCCGGGGGTCCCTTACCCGGGTTCACCTCCTGGTAACTGGCGACCCCATAGGCGTCAACGATGCTCTGGAAGCCAGTGGTGAACTTGTTGGTGCGGATGAGGGTGGGAGGGCTCTCAGAACTGGGGATCCGGTGCACGAACGACTCCACCCCTGAGCCGCTCTTGTGCTGCAAGGGAAGGCAGGCCTGAGACCAGGGAGCCTCGAGGCAACACCAATCCCACCCACCCTCCCCCCACTGCCCCCTGGGGAGCAGGCAGGGGCTGGCTGGGACTAGGGCACAGCCGGAGGAGGGCAGGACAGGTCAAGGCATGGAGGGAAGTGTGGCATAGTAGGAGGGGGTGGGGAGAGGCTAGGGACACACCGACGTGGAAGGGGTGGGCAGGAGAGACACCAACCAATCCACGGGGGGAGAACATGGACTGGCACGGGGGGCCGGGGGGGTGGAGGCATGAAGCGATCTGTGGTTTGGGGGTGCGGGTGGAGGCACATACCACTCCGCGGGGAGGGAGGGGGGGATGGGACGGACATGTACCAGTCCATGGCGTGGGGGAGGGCGGGCGGAGGCACATACCGATCCGGGGGGGGGGGTGGGGCATGTACCAATCCGTGGGAAGGTGCGCGGGGGGGGGATACGGACCAGTCCACGGCACGGGGGAAGGGGAGGCAGAGGCACGTACCGATCCATGGCGCAAGGCCTCCTGCACCTGTGGCAGGTCACGCACGGGGCACCACACCTCGGCGATGAGGCACTTCTCGATGACGTTGAAGCTGCACTGGTTGAGGATGAGGTAGATGGCCTTCATCTTCTGCACCTTCACGCGCCAGGCTGGCAGCATCAGCACCACCTTCTGCAGCACCTGGGACAGGTACTGCTCCGTCTCCCCCAGCACCTGCCGGGGGAGGGAGGTTCACAGGGGCAGACACCAATCCCCCATTATCCCAACACAGCTGGGGCCCCCACCCCAATATTTCCCCTCCACCCTGGTAGGGTCCTCAACTGCTGCCCACCTCCCTTGCAGCCTGGGACCCTTAACGCTGGAGATCGTTGAGTGGAGAGTGTCCCCGGGGCCCCCCCGCAAGCCCGCCCATCTCACCGCGGTGAGGTCGTTGAGCAGGGAGCGTCCTCAGGACACACACCCACCCCCGCAGCTCCCCCATGTCATCACGGTGAGCTTGTTGAGCGGGGAGCATCCCCGGAGCCCCCCATCTCACTGAGGTGAGGTCATTGATTGGGGAGTGTCCCTGGAACCCCCCCCCGCCCTACAGTTCCCCCCATCTCACCGTGGTGAGGTCATTGATCTGGGTGAGCAGCCCACTCAGCACCTCCAGCCGGTCGGCCTCCCTGTCGGCGTAGGGATACATGTGGCAGTGGAAGCTGGGAGAGACACACACAGGTGAGTGGGGGGTATGTTGGGGGAGAGGGGGGCTGAGTTATCTGATGGAGAAATGGGACAGCCGGGGGGGGGGGGGAGGGAAGGGAGGGATTGGGTTGGGTTGAGTTGGAGGCACAAATAACTGCCATCAATCCTGCGTGTCCTATGGCCAAGTGGAGTCACGCCAGCCGGCTGAAGGGAGCCCCAGCATTCTGCTCCCACTCCTCCCAGGGAGCAGCCACACCAGGAGGTAGGGGAGGGGCTGCCCCCAAGACACCCCCCCAGACATTTAGCTCCCCAGACAGGAACAAGAGCAGCTGCGATATGGCACCAGGACCCCTCACACGGCAGCAGCAGGCTTATAGAGCGCCGGAGCTTGGGGCAGGAGTGGTTGGGGGGTGACGGGGCAGGCGGGGGGGCAGCACTCACCAGTCCGAGATCTTGCGGATTTTCTGTCCGATCTGCTCCCCCCAGTAGGAAATGAGGAAGATAACCCAGGTGATGCTCTCACCCTGTGAGGGGAGCACATTACCCATGAGCCTCAGCACAGCACAGGGTCACCTACAAACCAACCCCCCCATGCTCCCAGGCTCCAGAGAAACCCCCACATCCCCACCCCACTCAGATCCACCCACGTCCCCTCCAGGCCTGCCCCCCTCACAGACACCCAGACCTGCTCCGACCACCCTTGCTGCATCCCCACTTCCCACCCCACACTCACTGTGGCTGGGTCCTCCATGGGCTCCGCCATCTCCACAAAGTTGGCGATGAGGTACCCGCGGCAGGCACGCCACAGCAGCCGCTCAAAGGAGGTCACCCGCCATGGGTGGATCACACCCGCCACAAAGCTGGGGGAGGGGAGAGAAGAGAGAGCCAAGGGGGAGGAGGGGCGCTGGCATCCGAGGGCAGAACAGCCCCACAGCGCCCAAGGGCACCACAGCATCCATGACAATACCACAGAACCTGCCGTGTCCCAGGCACAGCCCCGCTCTGACCTCCACCCCCACGTTGTCCCAGACGGGGCCTGCCCCACAGCTGCTGCCCCATCTGTAACTCATCCCGCCCGCTCTGGAACCGACTCACTTGATTTTGACATCGAGACGCGGTGCCATGGACGGGTTGAGCAGGGGCTCCTGGTCTGAGAGGGCGCGGGGCCGGGCAGGGGAGCCCAGTGATGCCTGCCAGACAGGAGAGAGACCATCAGGGGAGCTGCCCAGCCCAACGGGGCCCCCTCCTTCCCCCTCCCCCAGGGAGCCGGCACCACAGTGCCCCCCTCCTTGCCTGGCAACCTCTCCGTTCTCCCCCAGGAATCCACCAAAGGCCTCCTCACACACACCAGTGCCCAGCCCTGGGGGTGACCCACTTCACCCCTCCCTAATCCCCAACCTCTAGGACACCCCCACTCCAACCATCCCCTCTCTGCCTCCCAGATTCCCTTTCATTCTGCCCCTCTATACCTCAAAGTAGCACCCTGGAACTACCATATTCTCTACTGTCATATAATTATGATAAGTTTTGTACATAGTATGTCTTGTGAGGTATCATTTTAATAATCTTGATCTGCTGAATATGAATACCGTTGGATTGTATGTGCTACCATTGTGTGTGAAGTTATGAAGCATTGCTACATGTGTTACTGAAATACGTTGTGAGATGTCCCCAGCCAACCTTTCAGTTGCAACAAAGGACCAGCCAGTCGTGCTGATGGTCCATTAAAGGGAATCCACTCTCCCAAGGGCCATCCCAGAGACTTCTCAGAGAGAGCATGTATGCAGTGGAGACTGCTTGACCAATGGAGACTGCCTGATCCCCATGTCACAGCAAAGCAAGCTGGAAGAAGCTATAAGAGAGGGACAGTGACATCATCACTTGGCCTCTTTCTTCCAGGAATTGACTTGAGTTGGGAGGGGAAATATCTGGAGGACAAAGACTTTGAACTGAGGAGGGTGGTCCCAGGCTGGAAAAGAGTCCCGGCCTGTGCACTGAGGATCTGTAACCTGCTTGTACCATCGGTCTGGGTGAGACACTGCTTGATTCAAATCCTGTTTAGTTTGTAGAACTTAAGACTGCAAATTTATTTTATTTTTATTTCTTAAGTAATCAACTTTGATCTCTGTGCCTGCTACTTATATTCACTTACAATCGATCTTTCTGTATTTAATAAATCTGTTTTATATTTTACCTAAAACAGTGTGCTTTAGTTGAAGTGCTTGGGAAAAAGACCAAGTTTTTTTCTCAGCTCAGTTTAAAAAGACTAGTGTGTGTCCACTCCACATAGAGGGAGTGACAAACTACTTAATGAACTTGCACTGCCCAAGGGGGCCTTGAACAGTGTAACACGGGTACAGTCCTGGGATGCAGGGCTGGAGCTGGGGGGGAATTGGCTGGAACCTCTCTATTGATGGTTCATGAGTGGCTGGGAGATCATTCAAGTAACTCAGCTGGGCGTGTCTCTGCCTGTGGATGTCTGTGTAAGTGCAGTGCCTCTCCAAGTTTTGTAGTTTGACATCAGCATCACCGTGTGAGAGGCAACCCAGGTTGGTGGAACAGGGCTCAGCAGCCCCCCAGTCCAGGTTACACCATCACACCCTCCCAGCCCCCCAACCCCAAGACCCCTTACTCCAACTATCCCCTCCCTGCCCCCCAGGCCTCTCTACTCTGCCCCTCCTCTGTGCCCTCCAGCCCCCTCCTCACCCCCAAGGCCACTGCTCTGGCCCCGCACGAGGACTCACCAGCTGGCCGGTGAAGCGCTGCCCCTCACGCAGGACATGCGCATACTCCTGCAGCTCCCGCAGGCGCCGGCCCAGCGACTCCCGGTTGCGGCTCACTTCGCGTAGTTCCTGGGCCAGCTGCTCGGACTGTTCCTGGATGTGCAGGGCATCACGGGGCAGAGGGGCCGGGGGGCTTTCAGGGCAGGGCCCCAGTGCCAGCCCTGCCTTCCGCAGCTCCTGGTGCAGGAACGCTGCGCAGCAGGGACACAGCGCCCATCAACACTACCCATGCACAGCCTGCCCCCAACGGGGACCCATCTGGAGACACCCCTCGCCCCAGTTTCTGGCAGTTACAGCCTTTGGGACACCCAGAGCATGGGGTTGTGTCCCTGACCATTTGGGCTAATAGCCATTGATGGGCCTATCCTCCATGAACTTATCTAGTTTTTTTTTTAATCCAGTTATATTTTTGGCCTTCACAACATCCACCAGCAATGAGTTCCACAGGTTGACTATGCGTTGGGTGAAGAAATACTTCCTTTTGTTTGTTTTAAACCTTCTGCCTGTTAATTTCATTGGGTGACCCTTGGTTCTTGTGAGATGTGAAGGAGCAAACAACACTTCCTTATTTACCTTCTCCACACAATTCACGATTTTATAGACCTCTATTATATCCCCCCTTAGCTGTCTATTTTCCAAGCTGAAAAGTCCCCATCTTATTAATCTCACCACATACAGAAGCCATTCCATACCCCTAATCATTTTTGTTGCCCTTTTCTGTACCTTTTCCAATTCAACATATCTTTTTTGAAATAGGGCGACCACACCTGCAGGCAGTATTCAAGATGTGGGCTTCCATGGATTTATATAGAAGGAATATAATCTTTTCTGTCTTATTATCTATCTCTTTCCTAATGATTCCCAACATTCTGTTTGCTTTTTGACTGCTGCTACACTCTGAGTGGATGTTTTCAGACAACTATCCACAATGATACCAAGATCTCTTTCTTGGGTGGTAACAGCTAATTTACATCCCATCATTGTATATGTATAGTTGGGATTATGTTTTCCACTGTATATTACTTTGTATTTATCAACAATGAATTTCACCTTCCATTTTGTTGCCCAGTCACCCAGTTTTGCGAGATCCCTTTGTAACTCTCCACAGTCTGCTTTGGACTTAACTAACTTAACCCCACACCACTGGGCATCTGCCACCACAGACCCCCTCCATCTCACCACTCCAGGCTCCCATCCCCACGTGCAGCCCCTGCCACCCCAGAGAGACCTCCTCCCCACAGGGTTCCCACCTGCCTAGAGCCTACCCTCCCTTCCCTCCACACACATGCTCTCCACCACCCCAGAGCCTACCTCCCTTCCCCTCACCCCATGGTGTCCCCAATGTCCTAGATATTCCCCCAAGTCTCCCTGTCCCCCAGAAGGAGCCCCCTCCCCCAGGGTGGCTGGGCACTCACTGAAGGTTTTCTCCATGTCCTCGCAACGCCGCACCTCACCCACGAAGCGCCGCTGGAAGGCGTTGACATTGGGGTTGAGCTGGGGGAGCAGAGACAGCACATCAGAGCCCAGCTGCAGCCCACCCTGCATAGGGCCCCGACTCCGGGCGGCTAGCAGGGACCAGCCACCCCAACAGCCCTGACCCCTCAGTCAGAGACCCCAACTCCTGCCCCATTGGGACCAGCTGCCCAGACACCTCCCCAGTCAGGGTCCCCAACATCCCCTACCCCCCTCAACAGCGCCCCAGTGACAAACCCCAATTCCCACTGCCCCCCATAGGCACCAGATACCCTGGCTTCCCCATGCCCCCTTCCTCCCCTGCTCCAGGAGCCCGACTTCTCCCAACCACCCCCCGACAGCCACCTCCCCCCACCCCACCCCAGCCAGTGACCCTCCCCTCTGCTCCCCATGTCCCGCCCTGCACATACATCTCTGAACTCCACAATCCCCCTCTCGCCCAGCTCGCTGACGCAGGCGTAGGCCGAGGCCGACTGCAGGAAGAGCTGGGCCAGGCAGACCTCCTCGCTGCGGAACATGGAGCCCATGGCGCTGCTGGGGGAAGGGGAGAGTCAGGCACCTGGCAGAGAGGGCAGGGGCACAGAGACCCAGCCCCGCAGGAAAGAGACCCCTGCAGCCATGGGGAAGGGGACTGGTGCGAGGGGCAGCGGAAGCCATGCTGTAGCAGGCAGCCCAGGCGTGGGGACGGACTCCTCGCCTGGCAGGGAGGAGAGGAAGCGGTCTGTGCCACCGGCAGGAGCTGGAGCTGGCAGAGATGGGCGGCAGGGCCACAACACTCCCAGCAGCTCTGGGCATGGCTGGGAGCCCCCGCTCCAGCTGGGAGGGGCAATCGTGGCTCAGACTCCAGCTCCCCGACAACCCAGCCTGGCCCCCAGACAGTCACACCAAGCTCCAGCCATCTGTCCCGCTGGCACCTCAGCAGCCATCCCAGCCAGTCGCTCACCTCAGGGATGGCCTTGCAGCTGCGGGGGGCACGCGGCGTAAGGGACCCACCCAGGGAACAAGGATCCGCAGCTCTGCCCACGAGACACCCGGCAGCAGCTCGGCTGAGTCACCCTGAACTTTTTTGACCTCGGAGGTTGCAAAATAGTTTCCAGTAGCACCATCCCCCTCCATCCCAGGCCAGCTCAGCCTCAGCTGCGCCTGAGTCAGGGCTGGCCATGCCGCTCACCTTTGGGGCTGACACAGCCAGACCCCCATGGCCCAACAAGAGGCAGGGGAGGGCACATGAGGCCCTTGCTGCCAGGTAAGCGATTTCGGGAGAAGAGGGTCAAATGGGCTCGCTAAGGGATCCAGAGCACCCTCCACGCCCCATTGCAATTGGAGGACAGCCGGGGCCCAGCAGCAGCTCTTGGGGCAGGGGGAGGAGGGGATCCAGGCCTCAGGCTGGGCCCAGCTCACTGCAACAGGGCCATGCCAACACTCCAGCTGAAAGCAGGGAAACACAAGCGGCCTTGGGGAGGGAGTCCCACTGCCTGCACAGGGTCCCGGCCGTGCCAGGAGTGGGGTCAAGCAGCCCCCGGCGTTGAACCACACCCGGCCCACCTTGAGGCATCACTGGCTACTGCCCGCTGCGAACAGGACTCCAGTGGCTGCCCTGGGGGCAGAAAGGCCCACGTTTCTGAAGCGGAGGCGTTTGGGCTGGCTCTTCCTGCCATGCAGGACTCGGCCCCAGGGTTAGTCCGTGCCGCCCTCTCCTCTCTTCTTCTGCCTCTATGGGGCACCAGCGCTGCAGCCAGCCCAGCCGCAGCCAGCTCCCCCAGCCTCACAGACAGGTAGACAGCGCCACCGACTGTTCCTTCCAAGCTGCCTCCTTCCATCACCTCCCAATGACACTGGCCCAAGGCTGGCAAGAGGACCATTACCCCATGGAGCAGCCCACGCTCCCAGCATGCTAGCCCAGGGGTAACACTGTACATGGGAGATGTTAGTGTGTCCAAGCCAACGTCCATCCCCTCCAGAACCAGGCACAGCTGGATTCGGGAACCCACAGAACCTAGTGCTAGCCCCAAGGATACAATGAGAGCGGCCCATAAGCGGAGCTCTCTGGGGGCCTGTCTACACTGCCACTGGAGATGCAATTCATAAGTAGCTGTACACACTAGTGCAGGAACCTCTACCCAACTTAGGAATCACCCCTCCATCTGCAGGGTATGGGACAAAGTGGGAATTTTCTGTAATATTTTTAATTAAGCCCATGCGTGCCTCAGTTCCCCCATATTTTATGTTGTTACCCAGAGGGCAGGGGAAGGACTGTTTGCTCTCAGGACAGGCTAAGAGACTAAGGCCTGGTCTATGCTACAAAGTTAGGTTGAAGTAGGCTGCCTTGCATCAACCTAGTTGTGCATGTGTCCAGCCTTTGCTCTAGCTTGGCTGGGCTCTGGCTGACCAGAACGATCGATGCTTTAACCTTCAGTTTTCTCTGCTGACCTAAGGCCGCCCCATGCTATGTAACAGGTGACTAATAAACCCACCTGGTTTGCCAACCCTGAGTGTCACTGCAAACACTGGCTGAGGTGCATTAGTCCCTGAAGAGTGGCCTAGTCTCTCCCAGCAGTTCAGTTCAGCTAGACTCACCAGGCAAAGCTCATGCTGTGAAACATGTGTGCTGGAGCCCCAGAGATTCACCGGAAGGAGGCATTGAGGCCTACCCCATGCACAAGATTGAGACCCCTTGGGGGCTGGGCAAACTGAAGGGTTCGTTCCAGAGATTGTTCCAAAACTGGGGGCGTAGCACCGATGCTGTTGATCTGTGACAGCGGAGACGTTCCCTGCGACTCCTGTGGCATGGCTAGAGCGCACGGGTGCCAGCTATCCTGGGCACAAATCTTGTATCACCCCATTTCAACCACACCCGCATGCCACCCCACTCAAGCATTAGCCCCCATCTGGAACATGCCCTGCCTCATTGACTGCACAGGAAGGCAGCACCCCAACCATGCTAGAGCGCGGCTTGCCACGCGTAGCACTGCACTCACGGTAACCCCGGAGCGAGGACACGGGCCCACCTAGCAAGGGAGCAGCAGAGGAAGGCTGCCCCAGTGCGTAGCGTGCCCACCCGGGCCACAGGTTCCAGTCCCTGCTCTGACACAGGAAACTGACAGCAATAACTATTGGGGAATGGCTCCCCACCGGGCTCTGCTTTAGAAACGCAGCAATATACCCAGAACCAAGTGACGTTTGCTCCAGAACAGACCACCGCTGGGGTGGGAGCCACTACTCTGCAATAGCGCCTGCCATCGGCATCCCCATGTAGACAAGCCCTGAGTTACCGAGCCTCAGCACCCCCATGTCACAGGGGTCCCAGCCCTGCCCTGCTGCACTAATCCCCCCGGGATGCACGGATGTGACAGGGACGGGGCATAGGCAGGCCCCATGGTGCTGCGGCACCATGCTGCCCACAGCTCAGACACAGCCTGGTCCAGAGCGGGACACGAGCCCCACCGCAGAGACCTGACCCCACTGAGCCCCCCCGCAGAGACCTGACCCCACTGAGCCCCACCGCAGAGGTTCTCCTTGTGTTGTCCCCAGTGCCCCAAGCTCAAGGGGCCCCAGCCGCCCCAGGAGGGGCAGGGGCATCACAGCTCTGACCAACCACCAGCTGTGGCTACCGAGGGCCCCAGGTTAGGCCAGACTCCCCGCTCCCGCTGGGATGGGCCCAGGGCATAAGTGCTGGAACTAGGGGGGCTGCCGCATCCCCTGGTTGGAAGTGGTTCCCATTATATACAGGGGTTACAACGTGGTTCAGTGGCTCTCAGCACCCCCACTATACAAATTGCTCCGGAGTCTCTGACCCAGGGCAGCTCTAGCAGAAGCCCTGGGAGGGGGCCTGACTCCCAGCCCCTCGGTTTTAGGGATGGGGGGAGGGCGATCTCTCCCCCCCCTTAGCCAAGCTCTGCTACCCCAATGCCCAGCGAGCCCCACAAGCACCGGGGGCGGGGGATCCCCAGCCTGGAGCCAAGCTGTGCCCCAGCCCCGCAGCTTCGGAAGGGGGGGCAGTGGGTCACCCCACTCCAGGGGGCTCAGCGGAGGAACAAGAGACCCCCCCCCCCCGAGCCGGGACGGGGTGAGGGGGAGCCGGAAGTGGCGGCAGCAGCACGTGGGGCCAGGCCCCGCCAGGCTGTCCCATCACACCCTCCACCCGCGCGGTGGGACCCGGCCCCGAACCCGCCGGGGTCCCAGCGCCGCCGGCAGAGGGGCAGAGCTGGGGGCGCCCCGGCTCCTACCTGCGCTGGGCTCCAGCTGCTAGTCCCGGCTGGGCTGGAGGGAGACGGGAGGCCGGGACTTCCTCCTTCCCTGGGCGGGCTGCTCCCGGGCCGGGTCAGACCCACCCCCGGGACCTCCCCCACCGCCAGCTGCAGGAAGCTCCGCACCCGTCCCGCGCTGCCTGCCCCAAGCGCGCCCCAGCCGCGGGGCAGGGGGCACTGTACGGGGAGCTGCCCCCCACTCAACCCGCCGAGCCTCACTCCCTCTGCACCTGGACTTCCTCCCCCTCCGGCGAGCCTCCCCTCCCCCCCGCCTAGCCCCACCTCCCCTGCATCCAGACCCCCCTCCCGCCGAGCCTCGGCCCCACGGGACCCCCACCCAGACCCTGCCAGCCAAGCCCCCTCCCCCTGCATTCGGACCCCCTCGCACCCAGATCACGCACTGATCCACCTGCACCTGGGCCACCCCGGTGAACCCCACCCCACTGAGCCCCAACCAGCTGCACCTGGACCACCCAGCTGAGCCCCTGCCCCCCGCATTCAGACCCCCACTCCCTCAGCACCTGCACCCACTCAGTGAGCCCCCTGCACCAAGACCCCCCTACTGAGCCCCATACCCCCCACACGTGGAACCCCTGCTGAGCCCCAACCACTTTCACCTGGACACTCCTCCCCTCCGGTCCCATTCTGCCTGTGCCCAGATTGTCCCACACCAAGCCCCTCCACACTTGGATCCTGCCAGGCTGAGCCTGCCTGCCCCACACCTGGATCCCTCCACATCAAACCCTGCTACACCTCTAAACCTGGATCACTCCCATGTCCCATCAGAACCACCGTGCATCCCCCCCTCCCCAGCAGCCAAATCACCCCACAGCTGAATCCCCACCCCCAACACTGAACCCTTTGCACCTGGATACCAGCCTTCCAGGCCAAAACATACACCCTGCACACCATGTTGTGGAGTGGGATGGGGGTGCTCTATAGGGGGTGCTCTCCCCTCTCAATCACTGCTGACCCTGGTGTGGCAACATACATGGCCTAGAGCACAAGCCCCTATGCAACTGGACACCCACGCACACACCAAGGCCCCTGCACCGAGCCCCTGAGCCATCACACCAGTTACATGCAGGGCAGAGCCCATGCAGACAGAGATCCCAGATGTAATAGCAGGGCACCAGGCCCTGTTGCGGTGGCTTCCTGGATCTCACTGCCCATGGGCTCAGCTTGGATTCACTCCCAGCTCTCTCTCACCCCCTCGAAGCAGGATCCAGGCCCCGGGCACTAGTGCCAGGACTCACACTCCCAGCAGGGTCTGTGCCCTGAGGTTCGTGTGACCACCCCCCCCAGCATGGTGGGATTCCTGCCCCAGGGTGTTGGCATCTCCACTGCCTCGAACTCCAGCTAGATCCATGTGACGGTGTTTCCATAGTATGTATGGAAATAGCTGCTTCAACATAACATGTGACGGCCGATTTCCCCAGGACACTTAGTCAACATTCGCAGTGGCAGAAGCCAGATCCCATGATCCTAGCCAAGGGGCTGGCATCGCTGTTTCCATGCCCTGCCTGACTCGGGCCCTCTCTTCCCTGCCTCATCTGCTTGCTCCAGTGGGTATTTCTGGGGCTTTTTCTATCTGCAAGGTGACTCCTGCTGCCCTTCCCCTTGAGAAATGTGCCACTACTAATCTCCTGTGTCCCCAGCCTGTCTGTGAGGCCTTGGCATCCATCCCCCCTCCCCATTTCTCCTGGCAGGCCAGAGAAAACACCCCACCCTGAACCGGTGTGCCAGGCTCATGCAGGGCAGTGCCCATGCAGACAGAGATCCCAGTTGTAATAGCACGGCACCAGGCCCCGTTGTGGTGGCTTCCCGGACATCTCTACCCACTGCTCAGCTTGCCCAGAAGCCCCTTCTCTCTTGGTGCAAATAGTACTGCTACAGCCCTAGTCCTCGTCCTGTGTTGTAAGCACTGCAGCCCCACCCCCTAATTCTGTGTTGGGGGGCCCTAAAGGAATCATAGAATCTCAGGGTTGGAAGGGACCTCAGGAGGTCATCTAGTCCAACCCCCTACTCAAAGCAGGACCAATCCCCAATTAAATCATCCCAGCCAGGGCTTTGTCAAGCCTGGCCTTAAAAACCTCTAAGGATGGAGATTCCATCACCTCCCTAGGGAACCCATTCCAGTGCTTCACCACCCTCCTCGTGAAAAAGTTTTTCCTAATATCCAACCTAAACTTCCCCCACTGCAACTTGAGACCATTGCTCCTTGTTCTGTCATCTGCTACCACTGAGAACAGTCTAGATCCATCCTCTTTGGAACCCCCTTTCAGGTAGTTGAAAGCCGCTATCAAATCCCCCCTCATTCTTCTCTTCCGCAGACTAAACAATCCAAGTTCCCTCAGCCTCTGGGGTCCCTTGGGGAAGAGGGCCTTGGGCAGGTGCAGTGACTCGCAGACAGCACCCAGAGAGGGGAAATGCTGAGCTTTACAGCCCTGCCTCTGGACAGGAAACAAGCTGGATCTGGGCTCCTGCCTGAGGTCATCAGAGAGCATGGAGGGGCCTCCCAGCAAAGGAGGAGAGCTGGAGCTCGGTGGGGATGCTGGGCTCATGGGATCTGGACTCTGCTGGGGAATGGGGTGGGAGAAGGGGGGAAGCTGGCTTTTCAGACTTTTCTTGAGGGCAGATAGAGCCTCACTTGGCACCAAGCTCCCCTCCCCCTTTCCACAGCACAAACCACAGCTACTGAAACACCCCCCACACACACACCTGTTCCATCCCATTCCTGGGCAGGGATCAAACCTGGGACTCCAGGGTCTAACCACAGTAGCCATTACTGCCTGGGCTTGGAAGCCACTGGAGCAGGCTCAACAACCTCTCCTAGAATCATAGAATCATAGAATATAAGGGTTGGAAGGGACCCCAGAAGGTCATCTAGTCCAACCCCCTGCTCGAAGCAGGACCAATTCCCAGTTAAATCATCCCAGCCAGGGCTTTGTCAAGCCTGACCTTAAAAACCTCTAAGGAAGGAGATTCTACCACCTCCCTAGGTAACCCATTCCAGTGTTTCACCACCCTCTTAGTGAAAAAGTTTTTCCTAATATCCAATCTAAACCTCCCCCACTGCAGCTTGAGACCATTACTCCTCGTTCTGTCATCTGCTACCATTGAGAACAGTCTAGAGCCATCCTCTTTGGAACCCCCTTTCAGGTAGTTGAAAGCAGCTATCAAATCCCCCCTCATTCTTCTCTTCTGCAGGCTAAACAATCCCAGCTCCCTCAGCCTCTCCTCATAACTCATGTGTTCCAGACCCCTAATCATTTTTGTTGCCCTTCGCTGGACTCTCTCCAATTTATCCACATCCTTCTTGAAGTGTGGGGCCCAAAACTGGACACAGTACTCCAGATGAGGCCTCACCAATGTCGAATAGAGGGGAACGATCACGTCCCTCGATCTGCTCGCTATGCCCCTACTTATACATCCCAAAATGCCATTGGCCTTCTTGGCAACAAGGGCACACTGCTGACTCATATCCAGCTTCTCGTCCACTGTCACCCCTAGGTCCTTTTCCGCAGAACTGCTGCCTAGCCATTCGGTCCCTAGTCAGTAGCTGTGCATTGGGTTCCTCCGTCCTAAGTGCAGGACCCTGCACTTATCCTTATTGAACCTCATCAGATTTCTTTTGGCCCAATCCTCCAATTTGTCTAGGTCCTTCTGTATCCTATCCCTCCCCACCAGCGTATCTACCACTCCTCCCAGTTTAGTATCATCCGCAAATTTGCTGTGGGGCCAAACCCATGGTCAGGGGACAGAGCTCCACACAGGGCCCATTACACTCCCAGGAGGATGGCAGCACCCACCCTGCAGCGAGGGAAAGCACCAGCAAAGCCGTGCTTGGAAAAGGTTGGTGTATTAATGCATGCTCCCTGCTGGCGGTTGAAGTAGCTGCCCAGAGTACAGGGAATGCTGCCCCACAGGGATGGGGACCAGCAGGAGATTCAGAGCCAACTCAAGGAGGCTACAGCATCTGCACTTCTCCAGGGCCCCCCTCCCCTCCAGCCAACTTAGGCTTGCCAGGACACTGCATTTGAACCAAGCATCCCAGCACCTCTGCATGATGAGCATACTGGGGCAGCTGCAGGGTTTGGTCATGGCCCAGGCGTGACGCTCTGTACCTCGGGGGAACACCCTACACCCCCATGTTCATCCTTATAAAATGATTGTGTGGTATTATCCAATGCAAAGTTTGTCAT